CACATGTCCCCAAGATGTCCCCAGGTGTCCCCTGACCTTCGGAGGGGTCGAGGCGCCGGGCGCGCCGGCCGTGCTTGGAGTTGTTGTGGACAAACATGTTGTCAGACACGGCCAGGACGTGGCCGTCCACGTGCACCGTGGTGGACACCACCACCTGCAGGGACAAGGGACACGGTCACCCCGCGCTGTCCCCTGGCCTGGCACACCACAGGGGCACTGCCTGTGGTGTCCCCAAGATGTCCCCAAGATGTCCCCATCCCTGTCACACTGCAGGGACACTGGGTGTGGTGTCCCCAAGGTGTCCCCATGATGTCCCCATCCCTGTCACACTGCAGGGGGACTGCGTGTGGTGTCCCCAAGGTGTCCCCATGATGTCCCCATCCCTGTCACACCGCAGGGACACTGGGCGTGGTGTCCCCAAGATGTCCCCATGATGTCCCCATCCCTGTCACACTGCAGGGGGACAGGGTGTGGTGTCCCCATGATGTCCCCATGATGTCCCCATCCCTGTCACACCGCAGGGACACTGTGCGTGGTGTCCCCAAGGTGTCCCCATGATGTCCCCATCCCTGTCACACTGCAGGGGGACTGCGTGTGGTGTCCCCAAGATGTCCCAATGATGTCCCCATCCCTGTCACACCGCAGGGACACTGGGTGTGGTGTCCCCAAGGTGTCCCCTCCACTAACGTGGCCCTGTCACACCACAAAGACGCTGTGTGTGCCGTCCCTGTGCTGGCCCCGAGGTGTCCCCACAATGTCCCCACCCCTGTCACAGCCCTGTCACATCGCGGGGACACTGTGTGTGGTGTCCCCAAGATGTCCCCACGATGTCCCCACCCCTGTCACAGCCCTGTCACACCACAGGAGGGGCCAGCTGTGGTGTCCCCACGGTGTCACAGGGGTGGCCCCCACAGCCTGGGGTCACCCGCCCACCCAGGGGACCCCCAGATTGCCGAGCTCCTTCCCCCAGGACACCCAGGGGACACCCAGGGGACACCCAGGGGACCCCAGACCCCTTTTAGGGCCATCCCCAACCCCAGCCCAGTCCCACAAGAGACCCCAAACCCCCCTGAGA